TTGGGCCTGTGTGGGAACTCCTGAAGACAAAAGCAATCTGGCCACTCCAATATAAAATCAAAAGAGAGAACCGGAAGCTTAGAGGAACCAGCTTTTCATGCCCAAAAAGTCAGCCACAAAGACACATAAAGTTCACAAAAAGAAGCAGACCTAAACTTGAAGGCTCACATCTCACACAAGAATCAGAAACTACAACAGAAATTCACATGTCAAAATCACACAAATTAACATATCCCCACCAAATACCAATAGTCTTCTAGAGGAGTACAATGAGAACCCCAAAGAGATAATGCAGGACATGGAACTCAAAAGAACAATTATATACATGATAAAAGATTTCAGTGAATTTAAAGAACACACAAACAAGGTAATCATAGAGCTGAAGGAAGATAGGGATAAACTTCTGAATGAATTCAGAAAAGAGCTAGAAATATTGAAGAATACTCAGGCTGAAATAAAGAACGAAGTGAAACACTCCATAAGCCAATTAGAAATGACAGGAGAAAGCCTCACCAATAGGATGAACGAAACGGGAAACAGAGTATCAAGACTGGAAGATAAAGTGGACGAACCTGACCACTCAAGCAAAGATTATGAAAAATTTAAGAAATCACAAGAATGGAATATGCAGGAATTGTGTGATACCATAAAAAGACCAAAGGTATGAATTATAGGCATACAGGAAGAAGAACTGCAAGATAATGGCATGGTAGGATCTTTTACTTTTAAAAGTTTTTATTTGCGGGCTGGAGAGATGGCTTAGTGGTTAAGAGCACTGATTGCTCTTTCAGGGGACCTGGGCTCAATTCCCAGCACCCACATGGCGGCTACGAACCGTCCTTAACTCCAGTTCCAGGGGAATCCGAAGTCCTTTTCTGACGGGCGTGGTGGCGCACGCCTTTAATCCCAGCACTTGGGAGGCAGAGGCAGGCAGATCTCTGTGAGTTCAAGGCCAGCCTGGTCCACACAGTGAGTTCCAGTACAGCTGGGACTATAGGGAGACCCTGTCTCAAAAAGACCAAAAAAAAAAAAAAAAAAGGTTTTATTTGCGTGTGTGTTTGTGTGGTGCATGTGTGTATGCACATATGTGTCTAGGTGCATGTGGAAGCCAGATGTCCATATTGGGTGTCTTCCTCCACCACTCTCTACCTTATTCCTTGAGACATGGTTTCTCCCTGAACTTGGAGCATGCTCTTTCAGCTGCACTGGCTGGCCAGTGAGTTCTTGGGATACAGCCTGGTTCTGCTCCCTTGGTGCTCGGACTACAGGCATAGACTGCCACTCCTGGCTTTTTCATGAGTGTTGGGGACAACTCATGTTCACCTTTATGTGGGTTCCAAGGATTGAACAGAGCTCATCAGATTTGTACAGCAAGCACTTTATTTGCTCTGCCATTTTGCTGGCTCGCTCTTTCTCTCCTTTCCCTCCCTCCCTCCCTCCTTTCTTTTCTTTTCCTTTCTTTCTTTCTTTCTTTCTTTCTTTCTTTCTTTCTTTCTTTGTGTGTTTTTGTGATTGAACCTATGACTTTGCAGCTGGCACAATTTTTTAAAATTTAAAATGCATGTCTAAACTGGGCATGATGGTACATGCCTGTAATCCACTACTTAGGAGGTAGAGGCAGGAGGATCATGAGCTTAAGGCCAGTCTCAGCTACATAGTGAGATAGTGAGTTTGAGGCTAGGTGGGGCTACATGAGACCCTGTTTCAAACAAACCAGCAAGTAAGCAAACAAACAAAGAAGACTAGTAAGTCTTTAGACAAATACTCCTGAAATACCCATGAATATATGGTGAACATTTTGTGGTATTGAAAACGGACAACAAATTGGGGAAGGTGAACTATGGAAGTCTCTATGTTTTGCACACACGCACACACACACACACACACACACATCCATTGTGGGTGAAAAACAATGGCAAATAATAGAGCGATCTTATGTAGGCAAACATAGAATGCACTGTATATGTGTGCATGTTATATAGTTTGAAAAGACACCCAATTCAGTAGAGGCTTCCCTAGAGAAGCGGGGCTGGAGGGTGTGGAGGGAACTTTGATGCTTAAGACTTGATACCTTTGTGTTTTTTGAATGTTGTATATGCATGTTTGTGTGTGTGCAAATGTACATGGTTGTGTGGGTATGGGTGTGTTGCATGTGGAAGCCAGGGGACAACCTTAGATGTTGTTCCTTAGAAGCTGTCCTCTTTTGTTTTTTCTTTGGACAGTGTCTCTCCCTGTCCTAAAGCTCCCTGTGTAGGCTGGCTGGCTGGCCGGCATCCTCTTGTCTCCACTCCCCAGTACTGGGATTGCACATGTGTGTCTTTTTTTTTTTTTTAAACCTGGGTTCTAGGTAAATCAAACTTAAGTCCTTTACCAACTGAGCTATCTTTATTTGAATCTGTGTGTGTGTGTGTGTGTGTATGTTTATGTACATGTTTATGTGGGCATATATGTGCATGTGGGTGTGTGTACACATGGAGGCCAGACATTGATGTTGGGTGTCTTCCTCAGTTGCTTTCCACCTTTGAGATAAGGTCTTTCACTGAATCTGGAGCTCACTGATTGGCTAGACTGGCTTGCCAGCAAACCTTAGAGATTCCCTCCCCCCTTACCTCACCCCTAGTGGAAGTACAGATTCACATGGGTTCTGGGAGTCCAAACTCAGGTCCTTATATTTGCATAGCAACCACTTTACTGACTGAGCCATCTTCTTCTGCCATGAGAATGTATTCATTTAAAAAAAAGTTTTATTATTTTTATTTTATGTGTATGAGTGCATTGCCTGCATGCATGCAAGTGCACCTGTGTCGTGCAATGCTACAGAGGTCAGAAGAGGGTTTTTTCCCCTGGAACTGGAGCCAAGGATAGTTTGCAACCACCATATGGGTGCTGGGAATTGAACTCGGTCCTCTGTAAGAGCAGTAAGTGCTTTTAACCACTGAGCCATCTCTCCAGCCTGAGAATGTATTCATTTTTTTATTTCTAGAACTTTTGAAAATTTGAATAAAGAAACCAGGATAATCCAGTGTGAAACACCTTAACCTAGAAGTATAGTTTGGATAACGCTGATGCTAGGACAAAAAAAATGGAGATACTGATAGACCAGTGGGGTGAGCAGGGAAGGGAAGAGGATGCTCAGTCTTTAGATAACACTAACAGGCACTCGTTTTTGTGAGTCATGTGAGCTGCAGCTTACATCTTGAAATTCCCTTCTCTTTGATAGAGTTTAGCTGTGTATTTGAAATGACTGTGAAGGAGCATCTCTGGAGGATGGAAAAGGGCCCTCTTAGAGGAAACACCTTTAAAAAAATGCTTAAGCCAGTTACTGTAGTATGGGTCTGTTGTCTTAACCTGGGAGGTTGAGGTGAAGGGTTGTTTGAGTTCAAAGTTTAAGGCTGGGTTTGTAGAGGTGGCTCAGTGGTTTAGATCCCTTATTGCTCTTGTAGAGGACGCACACTGGGCATCTCATAACCACCTATAACTCTAGCTCCAGAGGGGATCTGATACCTCTGTCCTCTGAAGACATCTGCATACCCACATACACATAATTAAAAATAATAGAAGTATCCAGGCATGTTGGTACACACCTTTAATCCAAGCACTCAGGAGACAGAGGCAGGTGGATCTCTGTGAGTTTGAGGCCAGCTTGGTCTACATAGTGAGTTCCAGGTCAGCTAGTGCTGCATAGTGAGACACTGCCTCAAAAAATAAAACAACAGAAACAACAAAAAGCCCCAAACCACAACAAAATATAATAATAAAAATAAACCTTTAAAAAAAGAGTCATAGAGATCTTGCCTCAAATAAATAAATAAATTTAAAAATAAAAACTATAAAAAGCTCAGCTTAGGGGTTGGAGAGGTGGCTCCTCAGTGGTTAAGAGCACTTGCTGCTCTTCCAAAGGACCTGGGTTTGGTTCCCTGCACCTACATGGTGGCTCACAAGCATCCATAACTCCAGTTCCAAGGGATCTGATGCCCTCTTCTGGCCTCTATGGGCATTGCATGCATGTGGTGCACTTAAATACATGCAAGCAAAACCCTCACATAAAAAATAAAAGTAAGGGACTTAGCTGGAGAATAGCTTTGAGATGAAGGCCACTAGTCTTGTGTTTCTTTCTCATTGTAAAGTAGGAGTCTCCTGTTGGACATTTAGCTCAGTGGAAGAACACTCACCTAGCAAATACAAGACTCTCCTTTCAGTTTCAAGTTCCAAAAGCAAACAACCTCCAACCTCCAACCCTCAAAATCCCCAAAACCAAAACCAAAAAATCATAAAATAGGAGGCTGGAGAAATAGCTCAGCAGTTAAGACTGCTTGTTGCTCTTGCAGAGTGCCCTAGTTTGGTTCCCAACACCCACATGGTGACTAATAGCCATCCATAACTCTAGTTCCAAGGGATCTGACACCCTCTTCTGGCCTCCGTGGGGATTGCATGCTTATGTGCACTTAAATATGTACATGTAAAACACTCATATACGTGAAACAATATGAACAAATTCAAAAGCCATAAAACAGTCTTGCATTTTATTTATATAACTCTAGTTCCAAGGGAACTGACACCCTCTTCTGGCCTCCGTGGGGATTGCATGCTTATGTGCACTTAAATATGTACATGCAAAACACTCATATACGTGAAACAATAAAAACAAATTCAAAAGCCATAAAACAGTCTTGCATTTTATTTATGTATTTATTTTTGTTTTATTGACACGGGTTCTCATGTGTCCCAGGTTGACCTTGAATTCCTGGTCTTCCTGCCTCTACCTCTCAAGTGTGGGGATTACAGGTGTGCATCACCATGCCTGGCGTTATATTTTATTTTATTGAGGTATTTTAACTTTTTGTTCTTTTTTATTGTAGATGCTTACATTCTAGACTATGACATTACACCTGAATTTCTATAGTAAAGTGACAACTTTTCCTTAAGGACAGTGTCTTGCATGTCTTAACTGAGAGTCAGCTCTGAGCAGGACCCATGACCCTCTCTTCTGTTCCCTTTAGGGCATCAATCGAAGAGAAATATGGCAAAGATCTACTAAATCTCTCCAGGAAGAAGCCATGTGGACAGTCTGAGATCAAGTAGGTGCCACATGTTTTTCTGGCTCATACTGCCCAAAGCCCCAACTGCTTTGGCAAGTGGACTTGGCCAACAATTACAGTATGTTGAGTGAGAAAAAAATTTTGTGTTTTCTCAGAGGTCCTAATGGGACAGACAGAATTTTTAGTTTATATATATATAGTAACCACATATATATATATATTTGGTGTAGTCTGAAGAATCCTAAGTTACAAATTTAGTTTGAAATGATCTTGGATAAGGTCTTGATTTACCTGTCAGACATGAACACAGACCTTTGCTAAAGAAATATAGTTAACAAAACACACACACACACACACACACACACACAGAGTTATGAATACAGTTCAAAAGAAGCAATAAATAGCAGACTTTACTGAATTTTAGATATTGTAATTAACAGATGTAATAAAAAACCCATATATATATGTAGTCTGTTTATAAAATAGTGAATACAAATAATGAGTTAGGTGATTTTTCAAAAGTGTTTATGAAATTTTGAAAAATAATCAAATAGAAATGAAATCACTAGGGACTGGTGCCAAGGTTAGGAAGATCATAGTCAAAAGACACAATTTCAGGGCTGGGGAGACAGCTCAGTGGTTAAAACGCTTGCTGCACAATCATGAGAACTGGAGTTTGGATCCCTAGATGCACATAAGTGCTGGCTCGGTGTAGCAGCCTGCCTGTAATTCCAGCGTTGGAAGGTGGAAAGAGGGAATCCCCAGAGCAAGCTGGGTAGTAAGAGTAGCCATATCAGTGTGCTCTGGGTTTGACTAAGAGACCTGCCTCAGTGAATAAAGTAGAAGAGCAATAAAAGATGACTCATGATATTAACCTAGCACCTTCACATGCATGTACATGCATACACATGTGCCCATACACATGTAAACATGCATACAAACATATATACCACATACATGAAAATGGAAAAGAAAAAAGATACTAAGATTTCCATTAGGAAAAATAAGTTCAAGAGATTTACTGTACAGTATTGTGACTATAGTTAACAGCAAAAATATTGTATATTAAATTAAAATATTTAAATATTTTTATTTATTTAATGTGTATGAATGTTTTCCCTGCATGTATGTATGTATGTATGTATGTATGTATGTATGTATGTATGTGTATCATGTGTATGCCTGGTACTGACAGAGCACAGAAGAGGGTATCAGATCCCCTGGAAGTGGAGTTACAGAGGTTTTTTTAGATGTCATATGGGTGCTGGGAACTGAACCACGTCATCTGCAAGAGCAGCCAGTGCTCTTAACCTCGGTGCCATGTCTCCAGCCCCAAAATATTGTATTCTTAAAAAGAACACACATACACATAAAATAAAAATAAATAAATCTTTAAAAAAAGAACCGAGAGTAGATTTTAAGCATATCACTACCAAAAAATGGTAAGAATGTGAGGCAATGTATATGTTAATTAGCTCTATTGAGCCATTCTACAGTGCATATATATTTCAAAATATTGTGTTGTACATGATAAATGTACATAATTTTTATTAACTAAAAGATAAAATTTAAAAACAGGCCTGGCCTAAAGTTTCTGATCAATAAGTATATGATGATTAATTGGAAAAGGGGACATTCAAGAGCTAGAGTTTGACCTGGGGTTAGTGATGCATACCCGTAACCCCAGCATTTGGGAAGTTGCAGGCAGGATTAGGGGTTTAAGGTTGGCTTCAGCAACATAACAAGTTCAAGGTCACCTGGGCTATTCGAGATGCTGTCTCAAATCATTCACACATACACACACACACACACACACACACATATCACACACACACACACACAGATACTTGGGGGAGCTAGGGTTTGAGCTTTTTTTAATGTTTTATTTATTATTTTTATTTTATCTGTATAAGTATTTTGTCTGCATGTATGTAAGTGTCAGATCCCCCGGAACTGGAGTTATAGACAGTTGTTAGCCACCATGTGGGTCCTGGGAATCAAACCTGTGTTCTCTGGAAGAATAGCAAGTATTTGTTTTTTGTTTTTTGATCTTTTTGAGGCAGGGTCTTTTTGTAGCCCCAGCTGGCCTGGGTTCACTATGGAGATCAGGCTGGCCTCGAATTCACAGACATCCGCCTGCCTCTGCCTCCCGAGTGCTGGGATTAAAGGTGTGCTCTAATGCCCAGCCTAGCAGCCAGTGCTCTTAACTGTTGAGCTATCTTTCCAGTCCCTATTACGTGTTTTACAACATATTCTTATGTGTAAGGAACCACAATTCCTAATTCCTACATTACTATTTGTGGAAATGAAACAGTTTTTGTAACTTGTTCTGCCCAGGGCAGACAGTGAAGAATTACTTATGTCTGGGATTGAGGAAATTAGATTTAAGAAGCTTTAGTTTTATACTGTTGGTCAAGCTCTAGGGAAAAGAGGCATCTGTATGCTCTAAGTTAAGATGTAAGCAGAGAAAAGCCTGACAGTTGACTTCCAGAATTGAAATTGTATATGTACTTGTTTTTCAGTACCCTGAAGCGAGCCCTTGAGGTCTTCAAGCAGCGTGAGTTATGTTTAAAACTGTATTTGCTGTCTTTGGTAAACTCTTTGTCTTCTATCTAAGGCAAATTATAATTTGCACAACCATTTCTTATTGGGTGCAAAAATTTTTTTGAGCAAGTCTAAGGTGAGAAATAGCTCTGCAGAGTAACAGGACCCTCTACATCTGCACACCAGAACAACTCCTTTTGCACTGGCCAAGCCATCTGGAATCACCCAGAGGATTTGTGATTTGCACAGATTGCTGGGTTCTTCTTTGGTTTCTGACACAGGAAGCTGGGGTGGGGCCTGAGATTCTGCATGCTCTCAAATAGGAACAATACCCTGGGAGAACTTTTCCTGCTTTGTTCTTATTCAGAGACACTGAGACATGGTCACCAAAATAGAATGCACACATACCGCAAAGAACACAAAGAGACAGACTCCCTCAAGTGGGAGAGGACCCAAGATAGTGTCTAAATTGGTCTTGCAGAGATAAAACTTTCAGATGTTTGGGGGTGGGATGAGTTCCCTATTCCCCTTGGAATTGGCTGATTTGGACTATCAGGGAATTGGCAGGGGATTGGATAATCTAGACAAAGAAAGGGAAGCTGATTAGTTTCTACAGGAAGCCCCCCCCCTCCAAGTCTCTTCTGTGAGATTTGCAAGTCCCACCAAACAGTTCCCTTCAACAGAAAAGAAGCCCACCAAGTCTTGGTAAGGGAGAAGAAGTAAGAAGTCAGCCATCCTAAATGTTTAAGTGAAAGGTACATTAATCTCCCTGAGCCTCGTTTCCCTCCTACCTGCCAGGAAGCTAACTCTGAGTCCCTCGCTGCTAGTCCCCTAGAACTGCTTTCTCAAAGGGAACCAGTGATCTCTGTGTCTCAAGTCTAGGGTGAGTCTGGGTTCATCTCTGCTAGGAAGATGCATCTTTTTCAGGGAAGTCGCTCTTCCTGTGATGGCCATCTTTGCTCTTCTCAGATGGCTGGTACCATGCACACAGAAGGCAGAAGTCACTGCATCCCCAGCATGCTTTCTTAGTCTTTATGTCCTGTATTGTGACCCTTGGTTGTGTACCTGACTTGGAATTCCACCAACAGACTTTTGCTTAATTACTATAATGTGGTGACAACCAGGTGCTGGGAGATGTGGGGTGAGGCCTGATACTTTGCTCTTCAAGAGGTCCTGTCCAGCTTGGTGTTCCTCAGGCCTGTCTCAAAGCCTGCTTCTGGAGCTTTTTGTCCTTCAGTACAGGGACTTCCAAGTGAAGGATGTCAACAGGTACACTGTGTATGACATATCCTTGAAGTGTTTCTAAAGATAGTTGAGTGGTGGTCTATCAGAACAAATCTAGTGTCTGTTTCCTCTACTATCATACCGTAATTAACTCAGGAGACTTTGGACCCAAAATGTGGGAAGATTTCTTCCCTACGGCAAATAGTTATCTTTTTATCAGGTTCTAGCCGGTATCCTTTAATGCAATTCAGCTCCCACACTATCGACCTGGAGATAGAGTCAGATCCCCTAAGCTGAGGGCTCAGTGCCCGCGATAGATGCCACTCCCAAGACTGAGCCACTTTTACCTGTGCTTCTGACCAACAGGGTAAAAATCAGGTTCCCACAACTCCTTTTGTATTCAGTTGATTTATTGTAGCAGCTCACCGAACTTGGGGAAACAGTTACATTTGCTGGTTTATAATGAGACATATTACAAAGGATACAGATGAAGAGATATATGGGATGAGGGATGGGAGAGGGGTTTGGGAGTCTCCATGTCCTGAGTACACTAGCCAGGAATGGGCTCAGCAGACTTATGCTGTGCAGTTCCACTGGTATGAGCACTCTACCCAGGAATCTCCACATGCTTGCTGTTGGGAAGCCCCTTAAACCCTGCCTTTGGGCTTTTATGGAGACCTCATTGCATAGGCATGCTTGAGTGGAGTGAGTGGGAAATCCAGCAAGGCTATTCCCTCTTCCAGGCTTCTCAATACATCATTCCTACCTGTAGGACCCACTAAAAGCAAGAGGAAGATTAGTTTCTACGCTCCTCCCTGAGGAAGAGAGTGTATGTGTGTGTGTGTGTGTGTGTGTGTATGTGTATGATATCACAGATATGAAAGCTAGGTAAATAAATATTTCTCTTAACTCCTCCATAGATGATGTCTTTTCACTGATAGAGCTATTTCTCAGTGCAGACACAGGGTCTTTTCATGGTCCTTATTTGTATGTGCTCTGTGTAGTCAAGCATGGCGAAGCAAAAAAACTTCAGCGTAGTTGATCGTTCGAGTGCCTAAATAATTTACCTTTTTGCTATTCCTTGTTTTCTCCTCCC